GTAGGTTATAAATAGATTGATCCTTCTCGAATGTGTTTTATCTTCTTACATCTGTTTTGTCATTTCTCTCATAGCTCGCTAGGTGTACAAATACAGTAACCTGCACCTGAACAATGTGTTATTTCTTTAAATCTCATAAAACAGGCGGGTGGAGACTAATAGGTGAGTATTACAAACATGTTAATTTAGTTCCAAAGATGAAAAATAGAAGAGAACAGAAGAATACATGTAATTGAGAAGAGTTGTGGCACTGTTATGAGCCATGATAGAAATGACTGTAAAATGATTGTAACACGCATGTTCACTACTGTGACTTCCTCGTGTAATTTACTGAAGAAGGCTGTTTGAAAAAGCAGCACACACTTTGAAGGAAACGTCCCTCCTCTGAACATCTTCACCTCTCTGCTCCAGAGGACCTGACAAGAATGTAAGTTTACATGATTTTGATTTGAAAAATATGAAAATCAGCACTTGATACATAATTCTAAAAATGTGTACTTTTTCTCAACTTGGATTTAGATCAATAAACTAATACCATAGGTTAAGGAAAAACAGACACTGTAAAAGGAGAAGCATTTTCTCTTTGATCTTGGACGTAATAAAGCTGTCGTTGTGTTTTTGTATATTGCTGGTGATTAAAGGAGCTGCCTATAAACAGATTATAGCGTTCATTTTAACTATAGACTGAAAATACATTAATGAAAAGTAGCATTATGTGTCACTTTTGCCTTCACAGACCACAAAGCTTCCTGTTTTTTTCTAATCATTTTATCATCTACAACATGATGCTGCAATAAGCAACTTCAGAAGTATGAAATAACTCAAATATACTTAGTATGAAACTGATGTGTACCCATGTGTACTCTCCAGACTTTCTGCCTATTCTGAAACACAAAGATGGCTGTAGCTCTCACTCTCCTTCTTGTTGGCTGTCTGCTCCCAGGTGAGATATTCACTCACATTAAGCCCACCACTGTAAAAAACAAAAAGTAATTTGAAATAATACCTCAAAAACTTAGCGTTACACATAGCTAGTCCAAAAATTCACAAATGATTAACACATGTTCTTATTTAAATGTTCTTTCTTGTGTTTCAGGTGCCCTGTGTGGACAGTTTGAGAGCATTATACAAAGACTATAGAGGTTCTGAAGGGATCCTGTGTGACAATCCCTGCTCCTTTGACGTAGAGGATCAATATAATGTCAACTTAGAAACAACATTGTAAAGCATTATGGAGAGAAAGTACTTTTGGACCTGATGTGTTTGATAGCAGTAATCCACAACAGAAAGGACAATTGATCGGTGACCTAACAAAAAAAGACTGCACCACAACCCTGAATGACATGCAACCTCAAAACAACAAAGAGTATTTTTTTAGATTGGAATGTGACAATAGACTGAAATATAATTTTGATGGCGTGAAAATTTCAGTCACAGGTAGGTTTCAAATTAAATGTAGTTCATTCATGTAGTACTTCTCTGACCTTGTCATTGATAACCGTACTTTAAAATAAAGATAAAACAAACCTTTGATAGTCGAGAGAAATGACTGCTTATACATGTTTATGTATCTTCTGAACAGATGATCCACCCAGACCGACTCTGACTCCGCCCACACTGAAGGTGAAAGAGGGAACCTCAGTGAGTTTGAACTGCTCTGCTCCAGCTCCCTGTCTGTCTCTTCCTCCAAATCTGACATGGAGCCCCGGCCTGGGTGAAGGTCAGGAGACCCTGCAGGAGAATCAGGACAAAACTAAAGTCAAGATCTCTGTGCTGAACTTCAACGCATCACACCTCCATCACGGACAGGAAATCTCCTGTACTGCTGTCTACAGAAAACAAGATGGCAGCACTGAGTCATCTGTGAACACCAGTTTAACAGCTGACATTACATGTATGTTTGTCTTGTGATTAAGGAATTCAAACTTAAACTTTTAAATGCTCTCTCATCTCCTTAAAATCTTGACTAAATTAAATTAGGTGTGAAACAATAAGTCCTTGAAAGTAAATCTTTACCCAATTCTTTAGATTTTCTAATCAGTGTTGACATGACATCAATTTAATAAATCAAACACCTCAGTGTGAGATGCTTCTGTATTTTCTTGCTCACAAAGCTTCAACAGCAAGCCTTTAACTTGCTCTGCTTCATTTCTCTGAAGTGTTTCCTCATCCAAAATATCCTTTGCAGGCACAATTCTTGTTAATTGCATAAACTTCAAGCTGCTTTGAAATCAAGCTAAAGCAGAGACTGAGAAGAAAAGACAAAAGGGAACATCTACATCTGCATGCCATATATCTAATTCTGATTAAGATGCATTTTAGGATTAACATAATTCCCTTTAATGTACAGAAAACATGAAACTAATGGCAACCTTTCTTGTAAGTGCAAACATGCTGAAAAGCAAAGGCTTCAAATGTTGCTGAAGCAGAGTCAGTAATTTTCTTCATGATTTTTCTTCCAAATCAGCAAGAAAGTGACAGTTTACAATTCAATTATCAAAAGAACAAGTCTGTTTATTTTTTTCCTCCCAGATTCACCCAAAAAACCACAGTGTCGGTCAGTCTGTCCGGTCCAATACGACAAGACAACATTGGACTCTGACCTGTAGTAGCAGTACCAACCCAGCTGTAAAGGACTACACCTGGTACAGAGCTGATGGAGGCCAGGAGACTTTCATGGGGACTGGACGTGTTTTAACTGTTAAAGCTTCAGATGTCAGCGGTCCTTTTTTCTGCAAGGCTGAAAATGAACTGGGGAGTGGACGATCTGACAACAAAGACTTATATGTTCAGCGTATGTATACAAGTTAAACTGTGTGTTTTTAAACCTTTAAAGGTCTATAATTCCTCCAGAGCAGTGATTTACTGATTATAAATGTTGTTAATGTTTCAGTTTTCAAGATTGATTTCCATCTTTGGCACTTTCTGATTAGTATATAAAACATTACTAATTTGTCTTTTTCATCCAAATGTCCATGTGTGCCAATTTGGGCAATCAATCATTCAGTTTCCCTTTCATAATCAACTCCTTCATGTGCCAGTGGGTTTAGTGTGTTTAAATTGTGCTTTTGAACATAACCACCATGAAACAATCAGAAATGAATATTGAATTTCTTTTGGCTCAGTGTTGTTCCTGCTGAAACCACTCCTCTTCTTTTAGTCTTTTGGTTGCTCAGCCTACACTCGTCTCTCTTGCTCGCTTTGCGGTCTTGATTTGGAAATATGATACAGCTTTGGTACTTCCTTCACTGTCAAACTGACAATGAAGTAGACTTTAGTGGTAAAAACCATCAAGTTGAAAAAGTGTCCCCCCCCTCCCCAAGTTTTTTAATCAGTGAAGAACTATCAGAATTTATGTACAGATAAATACACTTAACTTAAAATTAATGACACAATAGTCAATTTAATTTTCCTCAACTTTAGTTTAAATTAACAATGAAATAATTTTGAAATAAAACATACTGAGCAAATAATAAGCACATGTTATTAGATACACACTGTAATCAGCCTTTAGACTGACTAAAATTAATTTGTGCTTCAATGAAGATCAGTGCCATCCAGTTAAAATACTTCAATTATATTAAAGCAAAAATATGGGGTCAGTGAGAACAAAAGGAGATGGGGTTGTAATACATTGTCCTGTCTTAATTATTTATTACATGCCAGTTATTTGTTGCTGATTACATAAACAC